TCCTTGGATAAAGCTTATCTGCAATCTTCACACGCAACATTAGCTTTCCAGATACCATAGACCACTTTTTCAAAGTGCTCTGACAAAGTTAAAACACGTAAATCTTGTAGATCCCACTACATTGCTATGACCGAGAAGGGTAAAGGAATATCGTTACTACTCGCTGTTGGGACAATTCCTATTTATGTCGACATTCATCTTCCACAGCCAGGCAAACTTGTAAATAAAAAAAATGCTCAACTTTTCTTCACATTCGAGAGGGCACTCTTAGTAGAGTCTTTCAAAATACTCAGTTTATTTTCCCCTCGATAATACCTCTGCAAACAAGCCACACCAGAGCCAGAGTATCATATCAGCAGGGTTAAAAGCAAAAGTATCCCATATCATGCTTTTTCCCTGTCTTTTCCTTTAGCCTTGTTCTTACTTGCAAGACAAGGAGAAAGAGAGCAACCAGTCAGCACTTGGAATCAAGCTTCCAATTAAGAACTGACTAACTGGAACTCCTTGCCTGATTACTTACTTGGCATTGCTCTCGAGTATTCATCTTCAACATTTTATGCTTCCAGAAAAAATACCACATCTGCTTGAGGAACAGATAGGGCAAGTGAGAATGATACAAGGAAGCATGTGGAGACAAGCATAACAGAACACGTGCTGATTCATATATTACTTTGTCAACAGCAAAAGTATCCCATATCATCAAGGTCGAACGCACTCTTGATTTGATGGACTTGTTTTGACCCTCAAATTCTTGAGTCGACCTTATACTCTCGAGGAAACCAGAAAACCCTCTAGCCCAGTTCAAGAATAAGCTTGTGGAAAGTTACTTCTTCAAAAGCAAAAGTATCTCATATCATCTCTTCTCATTTTTCTTCTCTTTATCCTTCCTATTGCCTGCAAGATAGGGAGAATGAGAACAATCAACAGGAACTCAAAATCAAACTTCTGATATGAGACTGATTGCTGGGAGCTCTGATTGCTTACCTTGTCTGTCACCTCTTTCGGTAGATTTCCTAGCTCGGCGAATTGGGAGACTCCTACTACATAGTTTGTATCGCGCTTGACCAAGCCTGAAACTACAAGTAAGCTTCAAGTGAAATTGATACATTACCTTGTGCATCTCCACCGGTTAAAGATACCACCCTTGGATAGAGGAAAGTACTTCCATAGAAGATGCCACATCTACCTATGAGACAGATAAGGCAAGTGAAAACGATACCACACTTCGGTACTTAGAAGTTTCGTGATTACTCAACAGCTTGGATCTTGCAAGTCCCCAACCGAGGAGATTCCCTCACTCGGGAACTTAGAGGAGCATTGTTTGTACCATACTTGACCAATCCCGAAACTACTGAGCACCGGTCAATGTTATACCATCAAAGACCCAAAAGAGTTTCCCTCAAACCAGAAGGCCAATCATAACGCGACACATGTCGACATCAGAAGTCAATCATAGCGCGACAAGTGTCAACATTAGAAGCCAATCACAACACGACACGTGTCAATGTCAAAGCAAAGCTAGAAACTCTCTTCTATAAAAGGAGATCATTTTCCCACAATATTTCCTAATGTCATTTGTACTAAATCATTCACCAGTACTCACTAAATGAGAGTTTGAACCTATGTACTTGTGTAAACCCTTCACAATTAATGAGAACTCCTCTACTCCGTGGACGTAGCCAATCTGGGTGAACCACGTACATCTTGTGTTTGCTTCCTTGTCTCTATCCATTTGCATACTTATCCACACTAGTGACCGGAGCAATCTAGCGAAGGTCACAAACTTAACACTTTTTGTTGTACCAAAGTCCTCACTAATTTTGTGCATCAACAAAGTTTTATTCCAAATTGCTAGAGTTACAGTTTATGTTGTTAACACGAATCTCACTAAGACTCCTGAAGAGCTTGAGCAAATTGCCTCGCACCTGAAGATGGAATTTGAAATGAAGGATCTTAGGAAAACTCGTTTATGCCTTGACCTGAAGTTCAAGCGTTGTTTTGATGGTATTTTGGTCTACCAGTTAAACTACATCTCGAATGTGTTACCTTTGTGTATACCTTGATCGTCCATACGTTATATGCAAATGAGACCCTTGAAGATGTTATGGAATCCAAAATTTCATATCTAAAGTTCAACTTTGCACTTCGTTGTACTTAGCTCATTGTATTTAGACATGACATCTCCTTCACTGTTGATCTTGGTAAAGATGCAGCACTGCGCCTACACACATCCATTGAATTGGTATTAAAGACGTACCCTAAAGGTACTACATGGGCAAATCCCAATTCATCTCGAGTGGATCCAACCCCCTGATCATCGGAATGATGTTTGCCTTGTAGTTATGCTAACGCAGGTTACTTATCAAACCCGCACAAGGCAAAATCCCCAAATGGTTATGTCTTTACCGTTAGGGATATCGCAATATCTTGGAGGTCCACGTTATGACCTTAGTTACAAAATCTTCGAATCGTTCCAAGACTCATCTCACTTCACTACGCCACAAGTAAGACATCGTTAGAAGTTCTTGTTGAGCATATTTCGAAGTACTTGCTATGTTTTCATCCATTATTGAGTCCCAACGACGATCCATGAAGACTATGCCACATGTATCCACCCGACCAATACATGATACATCAACGAAGCCAACGCCAAGACATACTGCGTCTACATCTACATCAGCAAAGCATCAGGAGATTGAAGTCATGCAAGCCGATCCCAGACAACCTTGCCGACCTCTACATGACATCACTGCCGAAGTCAACCTTACAGAAGCTTGTCCGAGGAATTGGTATGCCTAACTATCCTATGCAATGCTTGTAGTTCTCATTTGGAAGTTATGTCAAACTCAGGGGGAGTATCCAGAAGTATACTCACTTGATCTTAATGTACTTTTTTTCCCTACGATTAGGAGCATTTTTCCCACTGGTTTTTGCTACCTAACTAGGTTTTAACGAGGCACCTATCTTAGGCTGATCATACCCTTGTGAGCTCTTCTACTTGCGTCCAAAAGACGTATAGTTTTGATTTAATGCAACTTCTCACTTTTCTCCTTAGTCTATGAGTTTTGTCCCACCTTGGGTTTTACCATAGTGAGGTTTTGTGAGTTTTACTTTTTATGCATTCTTCCGTTGATTTAAGACTCTTATTTGCTTATTGTGCCGACGACTTCATCAACTGTATTTGCTTCATCACTGAGACCTGATGCGCCATTTCTTGAGTATTTACACACTCAAGGGGGAGTGTTGCGGTCCTATTAGAATAGGAATGTGATTGTGTAAATCCTAATATATTAATATCTCTTATATTCCTATTAGGAGTTGATTACCTATTAAATGTTGTAATCCTAAATGGAAAGGTTTTTACATATCCTACTACTATAAATAAATGCACAATATGGTGGAATATAACACACCCACAATTACACATTTCTCTCATCTCTTTCTATATGCCGCACCCTCTCTTTCCATATGGCCTCCATAATTGTTTAGTAAATTATACCTACAACACCTATATTTATTTTATACCCTTTTTATACAGCAATTATCCCTATTTATAGACTTCACTTGAGATGCTTTAAGACTACTAATATCGTCTGGACGCTGGAGGGTACTTGTGATCATGCAGCTAAGATTTTTTTTTTTGTTAACAAGACGGAAGGAATCGGTGCTTGAATTTTTTAAATGATTGTTAATGTTGATTGATAAGATTTCGTTGTGTATAATATAGAGATATTATATTCACACACTCCAAATTACTTATCCCACACTTTTTTAATTTTTTAATATTTTCTACACATCACTAACCCTTGATAGAAAAATATTAAAAAAATAAAAAGGTGTGAGAGAAGTAATTTGGGATGTGTGAATATAATCTCCCATAATATATGACCAATGTTAAAAGGGTAAACATCATCTGGATATTTGCAAATTTGGGAAGTAATCTCCGGACTCCCCTTTCTTCCTCTGCACTGCTTCCTTTCTTTTCTTGTAGTTATATTGAACATTTGTACTGGATAAATCAAAAGTGAATCGATGACAAAAACAAATTAAAAAAAGAGTGCAAAATGAGAAAACGAAAAATGTGAAACTACTACCCAATCAACTGCATTGGACTCATCTTAATGTAAAACATCCAAGGTACCCATTTTCAAGCCTATAGCCCAAAATGATGATTTTTCAACTGGGCTCAGAGTAGTGACTTGAAATTTCAGGGGACTAAACCCTAAACCCTAAACCCAGCATGTGTATCTGTTCATTCATTTTGTATCATCTTAGGTCCATGAAGTTTGTTCGTTTATATTATAATACATGGATTAGTAACACCACATAACCAAACGTTTTAAAAATTCCTCCGCCGTCCTTGTGCAAGCGATATGTTCTCTGGAATTCACGCAAAAAAAGGGGAATTTCATGGAAACATGCTAAAAAAGAAGAAACAGCAGTAATAGTAAGATGGGCAAGTGCATGAAAAGAAAAGCTTTTACTGACTGGTGTTTCATGCTTGTTTGTACACACTGCAAAATGGGTCCTCATTTTCTGCCTTTATTGTTTTCAGTTTTTGTTATTTTGTGCAGGGGAAAAGGATCGTAACAGATTCCCCATGTGAACCTTTGTTTACTTATGACCCAATTTTAGGACCACCCCTCCACTTTCACTTTATGTCTGCATTTTTCTATTTTTTTCAGAGAGTTGAGAGCCCTACTTGTTCTTAATTTGAAATTACCATGTGGCATCAACAAATGTGAAACACAAAGCATGCACTATGAAATGGAAAGCAAAAATGTGTATTCCTAGTCTCCTAGATACTTTTGGAATGCTGCTTGAGTTCTTCTCGCGAGAATGTGAGCTTCCAACCCAAAATCAACTGGCAGTTGGTTGAGATGCTCAAGGTTATGTAAATTATCATGTAAAGCTTTCATTTTCCGACGTGAGAGACACACTCTCAACATTTCTGAGTTTTGAATTTGGCAGATATTACCGAGAGAGACACAGTGAAAATATATATGACTTGGTAAGCCAAAAATTGATGCGCTGTCCTTTTTTCAAAACTCCAGAGCAGATTACAACAGTCAATTTAGGACAACCCCGTTAAACTTAATTCTGCTACACCAGCAAAAATGGGACCATTTTTCCTCAAAAAGATTTGGAATTTTAGATTCTGATACATGGTTGAATCTTAAATTGAAACAAAGTCCCTACTCATCTCTCAGACTCCCAAATGTGAAGAAATATTTTACCCATGACAAACACATCTGTAGTGGTATGCACTATTGATGGGGTCATTGCCCTCCACAGGGACTTGCTCAGCTCTGCACTTGTACTTGCACCCTCTGCATTCATTGTATGTGCATGTTGGTGCTGTCGATCCGATCATCAATCTCCTTACATAGTTCATCCTTTCCTTGCTTCTCTATACCGTCAAGAATTATGCAGAATTATTGTCAGAAAAATTATAGAAAAATATCAGAAAAATTATGCTGATTTAATTTTGATTTAAATTTGCTATATGTTTGGCAATGTTTATCACCTGCTTAAGTTGTTCTCCTTGTGATGTAGAGAAATCGTTGACCCTTTGACCGTGTGGAAGTTCTGCTACTTGAGTTCTCGACCCTGCATCAACAATGAGACCATAAAATCAAAATGTTGAAACAAACTTGGCTAAATAATGCTATTAAAGCTGGGAAATTTGGTGGTGGGAGCACGGAGACAAAAGGAGAATTTTGAGCAACTAACACCCATTTAGACCAATTGGTTAGTTCAGTGTACTCGCCCCCTATACCTAAGTTCAAATTCTAGTTTCCGTAGATTACAGTACTTTAGACTATCATTTCTATATATAAAAAATATCCAAATAAATTTGAAGAAAACACAAGCTGGAATTTAATATTGGGAACAACCAATTTGGTAAACCTTAATTTGGAAACCAAATTGCAAAAACTTCGAAAAGGCAGATATATGTATGTATATGTATGTATACAAAAATATGTGTGTGTTTGTATGTATTATATATATATTTTATGAAAAAGGAGCATATAAATGGAAGCTTTAAAGAAAGAATTTAGGAAACAAAAGAGGAAGAAGGAAAGAGCTTAATTATGAAGGGATAACCTTGTACAACATAGGCTGCAAAGACTAATATTATGAAGAATGGTAAGAGTAATTTAGGTCTTGTGGATTTGGCCATCTTTTTTCTTTTCCCTTTGAATGAGAGATGAAATATTTGTGGTCAATATATTGGAAGGATAAGAAATGAAGGAGAAGGAGAGGGAGAGGTGTGTCGCAATGAGCTGAGCCGCTCAGCCAGAGAAGAGATAGGGTGGCAAAAATATGTGCAGTGAGTCAGTCACTCAGAAGAGGGAGGCACACATGCACCTACTATTTAAGAACCCCTAACCTACAAATTATGCCTCTTCGCTCAGAACCCGTGGGTACTATATACGGGAATCTTTGCTGTGAATTGACCGTAACGCCCACAGTTTATGATGTCAGACAAGGGAAGGGATGACAAGAGGCGGGACAGGGCCGGGGTACCCCACCATTCCCCGCCTCTGATAGCGATTCGCTTTAAACCCCGACCGCGACCGCGACCCCAATAATTGCATCCATAACCATGTTTTTAATCCGTGGTTCCCCACCCTCGCCTCCGCTGGGGAAAGTACCCCTCAATTAGCATTAAGGTCTAAAATATTAATGATATCAGAAATATAAGTAGTTTAAAAATACGAAAATTCCGATGAAAATATCGGGATATTATCGATATTGATAAAAATTGAATAAAAGCCATGAAAATTGTAATAAAAACTAGGAAATTTTTATTGAAACTTTGCAGGATGTTTATTTAGTTAATTATCTATTAGTTTATCACAAAAAATTAGAAAGAAATGTATTGCATGATGAATTTAACTGATTTAAGTTGATTATATAGCGAGTTGGCAAACATTGTGATTGTAGAAAATATGTAGTAATTAATAAAAGAAGTTTAAACACACCATAATCATTTATATATAATGAATTAGTACAATATTTTACACTTTATATATTGCATGGTAAGATACATGAGTGACTTAGTACCACATAAAGTTCCTATCAAGGTCAAAAATATCGATGATATTGAAAATATCGGTAGTCCAAAAACACGAAAATTTCGATGAAAATATTGGAATAATATCGATATTTTAGACCTTGATTAGCATATCATGAAATGTTTATTTAATTAGTGTATTTTTCACTCATGTATATTACATATATAGGCTATCTCTATGCAACATAAATTAATCAACCAACTAGTACAAGTATATCAAGTATGTAAAACAAGAAAAACTAAGAACATAATTTCAACATAATACAATTTTCGCACAGTTGTTATAGCTTAACAACCACCAATCCGTTGAATTTTTAAATTTTCATGTAGCAGCATAAAAATCTCCAATCGGACAAGGTTCGAGTTGTGCGATGGTAATGTCATCACTGCTCCATATCCGCCACAGAAATTGAAAAAAAAATCCACAAACCCGCCCCATACCCGTTTGCACTCTTCCATAACCGCCCTATTACGGTCGGGAAACCAAACCCGTGGTACTTTCTGTCGTCCCTATGTGAGACATATTCCAGTTTTAGATTTGAAAGGGCAGGAGGGGGATTTTGAGTTGGCAAATCATTTGTCACCTCTAGAAGCGTGGCGACGAATCTTTACTCCTAGACGGCAATTCTGCAGCGTAGCCCCAGTCGTGTGGTTTACACACAAAATAAGTTTTCCCTACAATACCAGCATCAGGGTTTTCAGGTCCCGGCAGTCTTGGCAAATGATGCTTATGGATTTTGCTTCTTTGCATAAACTTTTCTTCTCACAGATAAAAAGGAATAAAGTTTTACAAGTGGGTACTCTGAAGTTTATTTTCGTAGATGAAGAATTTGATACTAAATTATTATTAACTAATTGTGCGGCTTAACCCAACTTCAACAACAATCGTGCACCAAAAGCAACGTCATCTCAATTTTTCACCACCTGACAAATGAAAAATTTATTGACGTGAAAGAATTGTAAAACAATATAATCAGAGAATACAAAGTAGATAAGTTTTTGCTAATAAACCCCAACACTTGGGTTGATTTAACCAATTTTTGTATTAAAAATAATCATGGGGAGGTAGAGATATATCTACATAACGTTTGAAGATGAGGCTTTGATTATTTCGGTTGTAAATTTCGTATTCTTAGAAAGCCTCAATAATAACAATAATCACTACTACATGATTATTTGGTCTAACGACATTCAATCTTCACTTAATTAAAGTAGATTTTGAGTTCAAATATCAAGGACGACAATTTTTTATAAAAGCCATCAATAATGAAAATCATTTATTTGGATTGGATTAGGTTAAATCTTGCGAAGATAGGAATCAAATAAACAACGTGACCTTCAACATAGGTCTTCTTTTCCAACAAGTGACCAAAAATTTGGGAAAAAAGGAACAGTTTAAAGTCGGTTATATCAGGCTTGAAAATTCCCGCGAATGCCCAACTTTGAAGAATACCAAACCTTGCCTCCCACAATTCTCCAATCTCTCTGTCTTCTGAAAAAAAAACTTGCCCAATTCAAATCCCAGAAACAATCCCTTTCCTTCATCCCAACATCTCCTAAAACTCAAAATCTCAGACTCTCTCCTCTCCTAGGCAAAGCATTTAAACCTCTTATATCAACCCACCAAACAATGTCCCAATCACATCTTCACCATTCTAATCTCATTTCATTCAACTCTTGTTTCTCTATCTCGAAATGGAATCTGAACAAGCCGCGACAGCTGCTAGTACCACCCGATTGAGCCCTTTCAAGTACTCGAATCGGGTGCTTTTGAAAACCATCTTGGATAGAAGGGATGGTGGTTTGGAGTTGATTGGTGAGAGGGTTGTGATTGGAGGATGGGTGAAGTCCTCCAAGGAGGTCAGGAAAGAGCCGGTGCCACATATTGCTGGTGATTATGTGTCGGGTGAACCTGAACCAAGGTCAGACGTCTGCTGCTGCATCGAAATTCTTCAGTCTCGGATTCCTTTTTTACGAACAATTGTTAAGGTCTTGGGAGGAGGAAGTGGCGGTCATTATCCACTTACGGATAAGTTGGAAACATCGATTCATACGTCCCCGCCGCCTTCCACTGTCGTCTTGCAAGTCGGCGATGGTTCTTGCGTTGCAAACCTTCAGGTAAATACGAGCAATAGTATTTGTACCATCTCAACTGATGATACTTTGTACCGTATCTCTAATAGAGGTGCGCGACACACAAAATTTAGAGGTGGTATAAATAATTTTGCTACTTGGAGTAGTTATCCAACTTTTTCTATGAATTTTAGTTGGCAAGGTGAAAATTTATGTGGCACTATTTTATTATATTTGATGTTTCTCAGGTTGTTATTGAATCCTCCCTGACTCCCCCATGCCAGCTCTTGCATACTGGAACTTGCATCATAGTGGAAGGCTTGCTGCAGAAGTCTTGGGTACTACAAGGCAAATACGTTATCGAGCTGAAAGTGGATAAACTTCATCACATCGGAACAGTAGAATATAGCAGTTATCCATTATCGAAGAAACGCGTGCCTCTAGATAAACTAAGGGAGTTTTGCCACATTAGACCGCGGACAACTACGGTAATTTGCATCTCCCATTGTTATTTGGTTGTGTTTCTTCAATTTTTGGTATTTGTTGAGTGTTTGACATATATAATGCATTTAGATTTTTAGGTCATGACAAAGGGCGCATACGATTGATATACATTGTTGGTTTATTTTCTAACAGCTTAAGTTTTTGACGTCTGTGATTCCTTAATGCAATATGACATGTTCTAAATTATTTTAGGTGCAATCCGTCATGCGAATCCGCAATGCCCTGGAGTTTGCAGCTCACACATTTTGTCAAAACCATGGTTTTCTTTCGGTGCATGTACCCATTATAACAACTACAGACGGCAAAGGATCCAGTGAAAAATTCCATGTCACTAGCCATTTCGCAGCAGCAGGTGAAAAGGAGGAGCCTAAGAAAGCCGTTGTTGACAATGTTAAATCTTCTGAGGGTTACTTCTCTAGCCCAACTTATCTAACCTCTTCTGGCCGGATGCATCTGGAGAGCTACGCTTGCGCCCTTGGAAATGTGTACTCATTCGGGCCACGATTTCGAGCAGAGAAAGGAGAGTCCCCAAAACATGCTGCAGAAATGTGGATAATTGAAGTTGAATTGGCATTTTCAGAATTAGAGGTACAAGTTAATGTTTTTTGGGATGACTGAATTTGTGCTCATTTTTTTTTTATCATATCAAACAATTATCTTCTGGAGCTTGCAGGAAGCAATCAACTGTGCAGGTGACTTTTTCAAGTCCCTCTGCAAATGGGTAGTGGAAAATTGTTCGGAAGATATGAAATTCCTTTCTCAGCGAATCGACAAAACCAGAACCGAACGTCTTCAGTCAATGGTTTTGAGTACATTTGAAAGAGTTTCCTACACTGAGGCTTTGGATGCTTTAAAGAAGGTTTGATTGTATAATTAACATTCTCATTGAGTATAATTCTGACAACTATGTCTTTCTCCTGCAACATTATTTATGGAAGTTTATCGATTTTAACCTGCCAGGTTACAGAAAAGAAAAAGGACACAATGATCGAGTGGGGTGCTGCACTAACTGAAGCGAATCTAAGGTATGCATACGAACATTGTGGTAAGTAATCTAAATTGGCCAATATCTCAATTGAGATTCCTAACCTTTTCTTTTTTCATGCATTACAGTTATTTGGCTGATGAAATCTACAAGAAGCCTGTAATTGTATACAATTATCCAAAAGAAACCAAGCCATTTTATGTCCGGCTTAACGATGATGGAAAAACAGTTGCAGCATTTGATATGGTTGTTCCAAAGGTAAGCTCATACTTGCACTTTAAGAAACCATGAGAAACCTTTTATCGAAGCTCCCCCATCCCTATATAAGTTCAAATTAATCAAAAACTGGTTTCGATGCTGAAAAAGGCTTATTTTTTCGCAGGCTGGGAGGTTAATTTCTGGTAGCCAAAATGAGGAGCGCATCAACATTCTAACTACAAGGTACTCATTTGCATTAATCGTCTTATATGATAGCCAAAAACTCAAAAGGTTGTTCTTGCCTTCTTTTGGACATGGAAATTAATAAATAAATTTCATATTTTGGTGTTTCTTGTTTGCAGGATTAAAGAATTGGGATTGGCAGCACAGCAGTACGAATGGTACTTGGATCTTCGCCGGCATGGAACCGTGAAGCACTCGGGATTCAATCTTGAGTTTGATCATATGGTTCTGTTTGCCACTGGCCTGAATGATGTAAGGGATGTCATCCCCTTTCCCAGAAGCCGTGGCAAAGCTAGCTACTAGTCTACTTTGAGTACAAAATAAGATGTAAAGGACCCAAATGGTGAAAAATTGTATACATACATTGATGAAACATATGATTTCATACATGTAAATGAATAAGGAGATTTGTAATTGGGATGCAACATGCAAGCCTTGTAAAAATTTGTGCGTTCTTTCTTTGGAATTTGAATGATTTGGCACCAAAATATGGAATTCCATTGGCTTTAAAGGATAATTCAACGAAGAAAAAATATGCACAAATGGATTAGAGAATTGGTTATAAACTTTTAATCATGAACATAACAAAACAGATAATAAACTCTAAATAAAACACGGTTTAGTGCCCCTTTATTGCGCAATAGTACATCTTCCTTTCGGAGTGTTGTATACTAGAAGTACAAAATTTATGGATAAACTATAGCCATTACATTATTTTCATCCACGGCCTGCTGGGTATTGTTTGAATCAAGAGGGAAGAAAAATGGATAGAGCTCATATCTAACATAGCAGCTACTATACAAAACTCTACATCCCTTTCTGTTGTTACAAAAAGTTGGGAAATTTCCCACTGCAATGGACAAGCACTGAGAGCAGCCTAGCTGAGGCAAGTCCCTTGTGCACTGCACTAGGGCATATAGTGTCACAAATGGTGATAGCTTTGTCTCACCTTTCCCAAGCCCTCCACTCTCCGGCACAACAGCTTGTGCCCTAATCTTATCCGCCAGAGCTCCTAGTTCCTTGTTAAAGTTCTCAGGGTCGGTCACATTATTAACATTGTAGTAAAATATACCATAAGATGTGTCAACTTCCCCAATGAAGCTCTTGTCACTGTACCTCAAGAAACAATAATCATACCAAATTCGTGCGTCAGCTTGGTTCGGACAGCGCTGGCGAATTTGCTTTGCGGCGTCTTGGATGCAAGTTGAGCAGTCTTTGGTGCCCACAACGTCACCTCTGCATTGAGCCAGGCCATAGACTTGGTCTTGGTTCATCCCATAGGAGGTAGCCAAAAAACCGGTTGAGGCAGTTTTTGGAACCAATTCAGCCAACAAGCTATCGATATTTTGTGATATTTGAGTGCCATTACTTATTTTAGTGCTATCCTTGTTGCAAAAATCTCCCAAAGGATCTTGAGATTCTGCAATGCAAATGCACAAAACAAGCAAAGAGAGAAGAATATGGTATGAAAAGTTCATAATCTTCATATTTTGGCTCACCTAGAATGCATGGGATGAAGATAGATTTGTGAGGTGGTTGTTATATAACAAGCAGTTTAGTGGAGATGGAAGTGGGTGTGGGGAAGCCATTGCAAATTAAGCAGACATTTTTGACTTTGTTGGGGCAGTCCACAATATTACCAATGACTGGAAAATTAGAAAGATACAAATGTTAGGTTTTTGGCTTATTGCTTCTAGAATGAGAATAGATTTCTTGGCTCCTCTCTTTTGTTCAAGTCAATCGACAGAACTCAATACCTGCACATATAGTGAGCTTATCACCACATAATTATGGCATATTTTCTTACTCAAATGAATATTTAAATTATTCCGATTTTAAACTTTTCGTGTGTTTATTATAACATATATAATAAAAAAATATATATGTTGCTCTCACATTACAATTCGTAAACGAATACACACAAAATCAGAGAGTGTTTAGGCCATCTCCAACCGACCCAGCCAAAAATTGGAGAACTGGCCAGCGGGCTGGCCAAGAGCAGCCAGCTAGCCACCCTATAGCCCAGCCCAAACACATGCTACCTGACGTCAGGTTACTGTTTGGTTTGACTTTTTTACTTTTTTTTAGACAAAATAAAAAAAAAAATTCTAATTTTTTTCCTATATCCATTTCTCACATCATTTTCACCATTCTATACTATCTTATCTCATTTCATTTTAATTCTTCACCAATCTTTCACATCTTTATCATTTTACAAAGATAAAAATCCAGAAGCTTATTAATTTAGCAACAAGTGACACTCAAAATATGTTCGAAAACCTTATTTTAATATGGTATTTTAATTCAATTAACCATATTAATTCAATTAAAGTAATAAATTATTGAGAGGGCTAAAAAATAGCCCATTTCGGTTGGAGATGAGTTTTTTGTCAAACGGGCTATGTTTTGACCTATGGCTCTTTGATCCTCTCGCTTGGAGAAGGTATAAAATATGACATGATATTGTTCATTAAAAAAATTATTTCTTGTAGGACCATAAGGCTAAACATGGCCCTTTGGCCCCCTTTTGGTTGAAAATAATCTTAATTGATTGATCTCATATCTATTCAGTTTTTTTTTATATTCACGATTTCTCTTCTAAATAAGTAAATCATCGTTTAGGTTCTTTTGGGTAAAATCAAATACTTATATTATTATTTTTTTCATATAAAAGAACCTTAAACAATACTGATTGCACGGGGTCTACGCATGAAATAATATCTGATCATGGTCAACTTTTTGGGCTTTCACATTTCTGATTTTTGACTTCTCACAACAAGTTGCTTGCTTTATTATAGTCTTGTCCTCGCGTCTACTCGTGAACAGCCAGAAAGGTATAAGTTGACAGAAGAAAACACTTTGCAAAGAGCTGTAGCTCGAGGGATATGTGTCAAAATTTTCAATTTGACGAGTGACATTAGATTAATAGAATGGTTCAGGTCTAATAAAATGCGGGTAAATGCAGAATATATAAATGTAGAGACTTGAAATTCGTAATTCGATTAGTTAAGAATATTATCTTTACTCTAAAAATCTAAATTTGATTCAATCTATCTTAATATCGCTTATAAAATAAAAATAAACTTCCTTACATGATTATATATTAGTCGCTCCATTTTAAAAATTCAATGTTTGGTGTATCTTTACTTGCCCTTTTCCCTAATTTGACGCAACAAGACACATGTAGTTCCCATTTCCCACATTATGACTTCAAATCTGTGGTTACAAGGAGGACAGCAAAAGATTGGCACCAATCACATATATTATTAATCTACGGTTGATTTAAACGAATAAACTGAATTGATTGTGTAAGATTTGTCTTTGGGATACGCCTTAATACCTCCTTTTAAGCATCGTAAAGCATACAATTTCTTCAAACTATATAATTATGTAGTATGTACCATAACAAAATATGAAACAAGCAAAACTAGCATCGTATTAAGCATGGTAAACCATACTTCTTCAATTAATTTGAATATGACACCGTCACATAAGTTGTAAATTTATAAACTATAGACTCATTAATCACAATATATAAATTAGTAACACTATGTGACGGTCTTAACGCGACATTCATTCATGATCGACATAATGATGTTCTTTGTTATCATCAAATAAGACCACATGCTATCATAATGTCCAAATATTATCCCAATAAACAATAGCAGTACCCACATAACCGACACAACCATGTCAATTAATTATAGCTTAATTTGTATATGCATGCAAATAAAAGCCATTTATGGTCACCATTCACCCATAAAGGGTAGGATAATACTTTGTGTTTACTCTCTCTATTGTTTTATGAATATCTGATTTTGTCAAGAAAAAAAATATTATAGTTGAACTGTTTCACTTTTTTATAATTATTTAAATAATCAAATCAAATTAAAGATTTTTAGTCATTCATACGTAACAAATACATTCTCACAAAAATTTTAGTTATCAAAGTCATTGATTTTGTTCAGTAAATGACTAAACAGTTAATCAAATAGATAGTTACGATTATAACTTTCGGATAATGCATGTGTCTCCCTCATGGAGATATTTACTTGTTCTCCACTTACAATTAACAAACATTTATTGTCCGAAGATCATAATCAAAATTGTTCACTCCCCTCTAAAGATCATATATGCAAAAGTTATTCAATTTAAAGATTTTTTAGCTACTTATATGCATAAAATAAATGAACGGGATCACTCGTGTGTCAATCTTCCAAGGAAGATGAAAAATTACATATTATATATATAACAATATATATATATATATATATATATTTTTTTTTTTTTATTTAAATATAAACAAACCAAATCCTATTTCGATCGGATCATTCCATACTGACCAGACCGAAATAGGGTTATATACATTCTAAGGTTCTTCATGAGGATGCTACTTGTTACCAAAACCGTTGATTGGTTTCACATGTATAGATAACTAACCGATCTTCAAATTGAATGATTTGTTTGCAGATGTGATCTTTAGATTATGATAAAGAGAATAAACTGCTCTTATTATGATTTTCGGACGGTTATGATTTGTTAATCATAAATGAAAGGACAAGTAAGTGCCATATGGGAGTAGATATGGCAAATTAACCCATTGGCTTGTTATGAATACCCGTTAAGACCCATTTAATTTTATATCACCATAATATAGAGGAGAGATCAGTAGTGGTGATGATAGTGTAAGGTGAAATCAAACTAAATGAGTCCTAATGGGTGCCAATTAACAATCCAATGGGTTAATTTGTCACCTCTACATGGAAGGACACAAGCATTTTCCATGACTTTAATATACTAAAAATATGCTAATTGCAACTAAGTGGACATGTGAACGGAAGTATTGTCTCATGGAAAAGAACTTTCAAATGCATGAGATGCTATGGTGGTGACACCTAAAATGCATGAGATGCTATGGTGGTGACACCTAAATCTAGTATCAAATTGTTAATTACATTAAGGGTAAATTACACAAATTTACCATAATTACGGATCAAACCACAATCTCATACCTCATGTTTTAAAAATTACAATGTCATACATCACCTTACGAATTCATTGCAATGTCAGACATTCGTCAAATTTATCTGTCTATTTCTCTATTAAATGCTAATATGACATGAGGTGATGCCTACTCCTTCGCCCAACTAGATAAAAACATTAATTAAATATTAATAAATTAAAGATTTTTATTTAAAAATTGTGGTACCCACCTTTTACAAACCCATCACCCTCACCCTTCTTCCCCAGTCCATCTGTCTCCCCCTCCTTCCTTCCTTCACCAAAGCCACAACCCACTCGCCCACTGCCGCCCTCACCTGCCAATCACCTTATATTCGTTAACCCATGTCCAAGACTAGGCTCACCCACCGCCATTCATCCTCACCCTCTTTCCGTCCACCCTTCCTTCACCACCAAAACC